CAGAGACAAGCCCCCTAGCATGGATGGTGCAGATGCGACAGAGGTCTCTGCACCAGCCCTACAGGGATGCTGGGCAGCCTACCAAGATCACCAACTGCCCATTCCCAACTATGGTCCAAGCGCAGGAGAGGGAACTACAGCCTTTACTGACCTCCTTCCAGCAGAAGACCTGGCATCTGGGAAGAGAGCAGCTGGCCTTTACCCTATATACCGCTTTGTTATGGGGCCTGACGACCCACCAACCAACCCAGCTGGACCACTGGCTATGGTGAAGAGCGCCGCTGGCCTCTACCCACCAGGCACGGATGATGGAAACTGCACTCTCCATCTCCAGCAAAAACTTGGTCCAAGTAGGGGGTAGTGCATCCAGGTTGTTTACCCGCAGGACACTGGATCTACAAATGGGCACCTGTGGCAGGAGGCCGTCTAGACAACCACGCCTTTTGGGAAAGGCCACCAGACTATCACAGACCCAGACCGATTGGAGGCCTGGATAGTCTCCCAGGGAGGGGGAAGATATGTGACAAACTCCCCTTCTTACCTGAGTTTGCCACGGGTTCCTGAAGAAGCCTGCTTGCCAGCCTCCTGCCCACAAACTAATGACCCTGGGTGAAATAATGTAAACGTCTCATGCAATTAGGATTATATGGTTCGTTTAGGGGTTTACGAACTAGAGACAACCCTGAAGCATGTTAACACCTATTAACAACTTGGAACGTTTATCACCGCAGTGTTCTAATTGTTTGTCTGGGTGGCCGCAAATCCTATAGATAACTACTAAGTGGCGGCCATCTTCTTCGCATGAACACAGGAAGCCTTGTTTGGGCACGAATCTCCTGGAACTAAAATTGGCTACAGAGACACCCGAACACCACTGGACCACTGGATCGTCTGCGTTCGGTTCGATACAACTTAGAAGAGCACAGTTCGGTGGCATCATTCGTTTGCATGAACGGAACAACCTCCAGAGTAAGACTATTGAGTCTGTTCGGGATCAAACTACCGAACTAGACTGACTGCAAGCCCTGATTCTCTGGAAATGTTTTGGGCATGGGACGATGCCTGTGGTTGATAAAAGAGATTACTTCCATAGAACACCTGAACTGATCTGGGTGATTTTTGGATATGTTGGTCACCCAGCTCAGGGCTATCAGGGGATGTGACATTTCCAGGATACAGGGAGGTCCACTACACTAACCCAAACCCTAACCCCCCTAACCTTAACACCCTAATTCTAACCCAAAGCCCAAAACATAACCCCAACACCCTAACCCTAGTGTGGCAGAACAGACCTCCCCACGTGTTCTTGGAAGGGGCTGCTTGCCCGCCTCCTACCTTCTGACTATGGCCCTGAGATATATGGCGGCCCTGAGATATATGGCATTTGAAAACACTATTTGTGCACAAATATGACTATTGTCCGTATGTTTTATGATTCCCTTCGTTTGCTGCACTGTTGCCCATGTGTTTCATCTGTTGGTTTGGCTGGATAGATTACCAGACAAACTGTGGAGTTACTGGGTGGCCACCATTTCATGTATCAGAGGCATACGGTGAGAACAACGGATGAAGCACATGGTGAGAACAAAACACAGTTTTGAATTTTCTACACGGTGCCATCTCGTCGGTATTTGGTGCACAAAGACATCATTCAATATAGTTTTAAACTACAGAACAGGGGACATATTTAACAGTAATTATTTTTCATATAGCCTGTATATGTTCTGCGGAATCTGGATTAAACCGTATGTTCCAAACTACTGAACGGATCTGGGTTAGTTTTTATGGGGTTATTGCATGTTTTGGGGTCCCTGTGATATGTTTTATAATACGGTATTTTTCTTGCCTGGGATAATTATGTTAAAGGACCACTATAGTGTCAGGGACCCCCTCCCGCCAGGCTCTGGGGAGAGGAAGGGGTTAAACTTACCGCTTTCTCCAGCGCCGGGCAGGAAGCTCTCCTTCTCCTCTCCTCCCTCTTTTCCTCCTCTTCGGCTGAATGCGCATGCGCGGCAGGAGCCGCGTGCACATTCAGCCAGTCCGTAGGAAAGCATTCACAATGCTTTCCTATGGACCCTGGCGTCTTCTCACTGTGATTTTCGCAGTGAGAAGCACGCAAGCGCCTCTAACGGCTGTCAAGAGACAGCCACTGGAGGCTGGATTAACCCTAACATAAACATAGCAGTTTTTCTGAAACTGCTATGTTTATTAAAAAAAGGGTTAACCCTAGCTGGACCTGGCACCCAGACCACTTCATTATGCTGAAGTGGTCTGGGTGCCTATAGTGGTCCTTTAAGCATTGTGTACCATAATTATATCACAGGCAGAGGGGAGGATTTTGTGTGTAATTGCTGGGAGTGTTTTCTGTAATGTACATGTGTTATTGGTTGTTCTGTAAAACCCTGTGGGTGGTACTATGTGTGGAAAACCTGCATAAAAGAAGGCCCTTTGGTGCCAAGTAAAATCAGATCTTCTTGACCCTCAACACGTAGTCTTGTCTCGTGATTGGAGAGAACTGCTATATAACACTGGGGATTGCTATGCTCTGCATACTCCCCTGAGCTTTAATCACTCAGCTCTTTTAAGAGCTTGTTCCTGATACGCTCTCCTGGAGGAGAGGTCTTCCCACACGGTCCTGGAGGACAGAAGCTGATGCAGGGTGGATAGAAGACAGCGAGACTCCAGTTAAGCTCCGGCGGTTGTGGAGTCTGCAGTGGTTGTGGTGTCGGGTGCAGTGTTTATGGTCCTACGCGCAAGCTATGAAGCGTTCATCAACGGAAGGTACTCGGTCGGAGTACGGGGAGTTCTGTTACACCTAGCTTAACCCAAACCCTCTAACCCCTAAGCCTAACCCTAACCCCCTAAACCCAACCCATACCCCTAACCCTACACCACATCCCTAACCCTAAACCTTAACCCCAATCCGAACCCCCTAATCCTACCCTCCTAACCCTTACACCCTAACCCTTCTAGAAGCCAAACCCTCTAGTCCAAATCCGCTATCCCTAACCACAACCGTAACCCCCACCCCAACACTATGGAAAAGGGAATGGGGGAAAGAACACTGGGACAGAGGAGGGGAGAAAAGAACACTATGGGACAGGGGACTGGGAAAAAAAACCACTATAAGACAGGGAAGGGGGGAACAGTATGGGACCGGGGAGGAGCAGGGAAAGAACACTAAAAAAGAGGGAGGGGAGACGAACACTAGAGGGGGAGAGAGGAACATTAAGGTGGGGGGACCACTAAAAGAGAAGTTTTAGATTAATTAAATTCATTAAAAAAAGTCTAATAATGCAATTATAGGAAAAAAACATTATTGAAATCATTTGGGGGGGAAAAAGTCATTTTTGGGTTCGGTTTTCATCCAAGGGCATCCTGAAGTTTCGGCCCAGAATTTTCAGTTTGGTGCATCCCTACCCTAACCCCCCCGACAACCCTAAACCACAACCAACCCTAACCCCCACCCTAACAACCCTACACTAACCCAAAAGCCCTCCAAGCCTAACCCCTACCCAAACCCTTAACCCTAACAACCCCAACCCAACCTCTTAACCCTAACCCGCTATCCCAAACCGTCCCCCCAACCCTAACCTTAACCCTGAACAGAGGTTAGGTATGTATCCAGAGCTTTTGGATTGTCGGTAGGGTCATAAAGCGATTTTGGCTCACTGACCCCTTCCACTAGTTTTTGTATGGTTAAGGGAAAGTACATAGTAGTCATGTGTCTTTATGATATAGTCTGGGGTGTTGGTGTTTATGGCAGGGAATTCACTTAGCCTGGGAAATCCATAGAAAGCCAGATAAATAGCGGTTTGTATGACGTGATTGGTTTGAGTTTCAAATGGTGA